GGCAATGAGTCCTCGTCTTTAAGTAGCCCACTCCAGGTATATAAAACCTGTTTCTTACTGAGAGCCATCACTGTGCCAACCAAGGGTCATGAAATTCATGATGTTTCTCGTCATGACTTTCCTGACGATTTGTCCGGAAATTCATGATGATTTACCGGAAATTCATAATAAAACATCATGACTCGGAGTCGTGATTTTCATGACGATTATGGGGCTGTTCATGATGGTTTTTAGGGCAGAATTTGTTAATGAAACATCATGAAAAGGAGGCCAGCGCGGCGCAAATAAATTGGGCTACCGCCAGCCGGAGTCGAACTCCGGACCGCGGCACTGCAGCGCAGCGCAGCACAGCGCAGCACAGACTATTACTCTTAGACTAATGGAGATTTGATGAGAGGGACATCGGATTTCAGTCGATACATGTCGCCAGCATATCTCGTTGACTGAGCTATTGACTTGTTACAACCAACCGATTTTCAGTAGGATGTAGTTGACAGACCTACTACTCTACATAGCACCATGTATTGGTGTAACACTGGGATGAGCACACTATGCACTCAACATCTGGTGGACTTAGCAAAAAAAAAAAAAAATGAGTAGTTGTTTCATGACAAAAATTCATGATGTTTTGTCATGAATCCATATTGTCACAAAAGCAGATTTCTGAGCATCATGAAAGCCGTCTTGAATTTCATAACGTCGTTCATGACAAAACATCATGAAACCTGAATTTCATAACAATCTGCATGAATTTCATGATGAATACTTTGCACAGTGCATCGAGCCAAACATCTCGAATCATCGTATCGTGTCCCACTCGAACGCGTTTACCGTCCCATAGGAAATTGTGAGTCAAGTCAATCAGTGTTCTTTCAATTTCGTCAGGCATTCCTTGTACCCGTGCCAGGTATTGTGTTCTCCCGCCAACAACCATATTTATGATGTGTCGTTTCGTTTACCTTCAAGCCCAGGGTTTGTCGTACGTCTATTCAAGGGGAATATTCTCACTTTACGCGCGCTATTTGCGGTGAGCCGCTTCAAGATTTCTCTGGGTGAGGCTTTGAGTCGGAGAACAATAAGGCCCTCGGCCCCTAATTGCGCTTGTGTCGAAGTTTGAATTTGCTTCCGGCACTTCATCCCAACTCGAAGCACTAATTTTCTACATTTAAGTTCCTTTCCCTGCACTCCGATTCCTGTCTCACAAAGGTGGAACTTATTAGGCAGACCCAGTCTTGAAGTTTCTGAGACAAGTTACGACAGGAATTTAGCATACCTGGAAAAATCTTTTCTGGGTCAGGCTTTGAGTCGGAGAACAATAGGGCCCTCGGCCCCGAGTCAAGCCTTGCTCCAAATAAATCTCGGGGCATATTATCATTCGATATGTTTCAGCTCACTCCCTTCATTACCTGTGTCGTATTTTTGTTGCTGCTGCTGGTCAGCTTAGCCACTCCAATAATCAAGGGAATATTCTTTCTCAGACTCTCTGCGGCCTCCTCCTCCACCCTGTTGAACAGCTCTGCCAGGAACTCCGTCACCTTTGGGGTCTGGGGATACTGCGCGTCTGGTGAGGACATTCGGTATGCTTTCTATCTGTGTACCTATATTTATTCGAATTCGGACCTTACTATCCTAGGATTTTTGGCATCAATCATGACGCTGAAAATTGCTCTGGCCGACATCTGGGCTACACGTTTGACGACACGCTACAAACAACCCTGTAAGTACTGCCCAACGTCGATGAAATTTCATAATCCAAATGTCCTCATAGCGGGGTGAGCGGCTTCGAGGGGAAGAGTGTCTCAAAAGCCCTCACAGCTTCCCTCAGTCTGCACCCGATTGGCAAGTTCGCATTGTCGTGCTAATTTAGGACTCCTGACATGGATAGTAACAACAGCCGCCGTCCTCACCTTCATTTTATTCCTCATTTCCCTCTTCATCCTCCGCCGCAACAATCACATTGCCCTTCAGTCTCTCTCTCTCATTCAGTTTGGGATCGGAATCCTGGCGGCAATTATCACTACCATCGCGTTACTCGTTGACTGTATAGTAGTTGATGCAGCCCGGCGCACAATCTCGGGACATATTGTCACCGTAACGTGGGGAAATGCTGTCTGGATGACGCTCGTGGCGGCGATCTTGCTCTGGGCTGTCAATCTGGAAGCAATGACGGGAATTTTGACCAGGAGACAGCGTCACGACGCTGCTCTACGTTAGTAGTGTACAATTTGTTCTCCGCTCCATCAGTGTTCCGTTTAACGTTTAACGGTTAAGTTACAGCCGTTTTGTGAAATTTATACGGGTTTTAATCGAGTGGTGCTCTATGTGCTCAACATCATTTTCACAGCCAAGGTTTTGACTACGGTGCAGCCGGAGGACACGATGACTCCGCCACCGGTCAACGTCTGTCCCGGGAAGGCAGCCCGGAAGGAGGATGGTATGGGGGGTCTCTCGGAGACGCACACCATCCCTTGAGAACGACTATCTTCTCATCGACTCGGCAGAAAGTCTGAGTAGCGATGTCGCAAATTTCTTTTTCCTGTTACCGGCGACGGTCGTCCGCGGTCGTTTGTTATCGGGGAGCTTCAGGTCGTCAGCCTGACAGCCGCATCATCGAAGGGGCTCGGAAACGATCGGGGCATATCGTACCCGACAGCCTGACAGCCCGATGATGTCTTTTCGGGCACGATCTCCAACTACTCCAGAACTAATGAAAAACAAGAAAATTCTATTCATTCAGTCCGAAGTCGCTTGGTTGCAAGCAGGTTTGTAGTACTTGACTTTGAAGTGATAAGTTGTAATGATGATTGAACTTTGAACTTGAGTTGAAGTAGAGTCTAATAAATTGTATTGAGTCTGTGTAACAATCGTGAGCAGTCAGAGTTGAACCGGCGTGGAGTACAAGAGAAAACGCAGCCCTTACCGTTCGGCCACGCGCGCATTATTGGTTGAGGAAGTGAACTCCAACATATGAGGTCAGCTCCACAGCCAAGCACGACCAAACAAGTGACACGTTCTGACGGCTGCCATGGACACTCACCGACTCCCTATACACCACCTTCATGTCTCCTACCTCTGCTACCCTTCGTCGCTCGTCCTCAGACATCTCACACGTCTCGGACTCAGAACCCGAGCGCATCGCCGCCACGCAGCGCGCCAAATCATCTCGGAAGGCTCGCCGTCAACGCGATGCCTGGATTCCCAATGTCTCCTCGTCGACAAATGAAGACGTATCCGGCCGGATTTTGGTGCTGGAGGACACGGTGAAGCAACTGGAATGCGAGTTGAAGCTCATGCGGGACGAGATCCGCGGTATGCCCGGTGCGTAATAGTACTTTCCATTAATTCAATTCATTCATTACATCCCGTCGGCAGCCGCGCCCAGACTATCTGTGACTCGGCGTGCAACCGCCAGTCCACCGACTACTCCTCCGCCCAAGCGATTCCGCGTCCATCACGACGCATGTGTTGGGAACGACAGCCCACTCGGTCGCATCGACTCGCCCCTCATCCATCAAAGCTCCTTACGTCTCAGCACTCCGGAACGGGATGCGAATAGTCGGGAGCTTGAAGAATCTGTGCGGTCTGCAATCTATGGCACCAAATCCCCCCAGCTTTACATCTCAGGCAAGGAGAACATCGCCTCACCATCCCCAACGAAGCGAAAGGTTTTGACGAGGAGATGTAATGACTAAAATCTTTTTTTTCATACGAAACAATATATTCTTTTTGTTCCAATTGCATTGCTCGAGTGATTTACTGGTCATCACCACTCTCCTCGCCATTACCGGTCTCGCCATCCCCCGCATTGTCCATGTCAACGTCCTCCTCCTCCTCGACCTCGGCATTTCTGATCGCATCCAACGCAGCATCCAGCTCGTCACCACCGGCAGCGCCATTCGTGACTCTGACATCCACAAGACTCATTTCACTGTCCGGGAAAAGCTCCGCATCCCACTCTCTGAAAAGTGCGAGAACGGGCTTGGAGCGATTGCGAAGCCCCTCAAGAAGGTAACGCAGGTACGATTCGTAGCATGAGTACCAATTGATTCCTATTTGCTGACCTTTCTTCTTGAGCTCGACGTCCATCGACAGGGCCCAAAGCGTCTCGCATAGAAGTAAGTGTCAGCCGGCTGTCAAAGTATTCGGACTCACAAGAGCACCTGCGCAGGCAACAAAGCCTGGTGTGGAGTTCGAAATATTGTGCATCTGTTGCATGCAACGGGGCCCGGAAACGCATGGCTTGTTGGTCGCCATCTTGATAGGTTTTTTCTTCCCATAAATGACGGCGGCAGCGACCTGCAAATGTAAGTTTCACAACTCGCGCCACAATTTCATGATACATACATGCATGACAAGCTTGTTTTTCAGGAATGTTTCGACCTTGAGGCGGTCCGCGCCGTCGCTATGCAGGGCCGGTGCATCAAATGGATGAAAAGCGAAACACCCTTGCCCCCGCTGTCTCGTTTCTCACGAGATGCTCGACTGCCTTCATCAGTTCTTTCCGTTGCGCAGCTCTGAAGCGATGCGGAATGTGGTTGAAAGAGCCAGGTGTGCTCCCACAGCAGCTCAACGAGATAAGCTCTTGATGGACCACGGTCTGCACGACGTACCGGTATGAGTTTATTTGGAAAGCTTGCGTCGAGGAAAGGGTACCGATTCGTCAAGGTAAATTGATGTGGTGATGATTGAGATCAAAATACTCGCCAACTCGGTAATTACTTTTGGACCAATTCCCTTCCTCGTAGCTCAAGTGCTTTGGGTATCTGGCAGAGAATTAGTCAAAGAATAAATCCCGAAAAAATCAAACGATGGACAGGGGAGCCGGAAATTCAGACCCATATACCCGTTGGGCACAATAGTATGACAACCGATCTGCGATCGGACTTCGGAGGCAATTCGGAAGACTGCGTTCAGGTGACACTTGGGTGACACCTGGTGACGGTGTCAGTGGTCGGAGGTTTATTTTCTGACATGTTCCCTCATGACTGAGAGGCATCAAGGGTCATATAGCTCAATGGCAGAGCACGAGGTCTGTGTATTCAGGTTCACGACTATCACCTTTCGCGTTCCAGGTTCGACTCCTGGCTTGACCTTTTTGAGTTCAAATACTGTAAATAGTACAGTAAATAAAGAACAACGAAAATCAATAAAACTACAATTGGTTCGAAGAAGTGACACTTTCCCGCGGTCTTCCGCCTGGTATGCACTGTACGCCACTCTCGAGACGAACGATGAGCCACTATCTATCGACATTTATGGGGAACTTGCTTCCATTCAACTACTTAGGGCTCCAACGTACCGCGGCTTTGTCAGCATGCGTGTGTTGTTTCGGAGAGCGCCGGATCTGTGGGAAACTATCCACGTGATGGTGACGGTAGTGTTGCCGCGGCTCGGGTCAGCTTCACCGGGGTTGGAGCTAAATTGAATTTTAAAAATTGCGATACGGCTTGGACTGCCTTCGTGATGTCTGGACGGCATTGAACAGCGGTATGCATAAGCGAACCAACGGCGTGCTGGTAGGGAACGTTGGCCATGCGCTGGAGGTCTTCCGAAGTCTGAGGAGATTGAGACTTCAAAAGCGGAGCGGCCGACGTGTTGACTGGCGAGTATACGGGCCGTGCATCCTCCATGCGATACTGAGCCACAATCGAGTCAATATTATATACTTAGAAGCGACAAGGAGATGGTGCGGTTCGCACGATCACGCAGAGTTTCGAGGCCAAGGGGAACTCCCTCTTTTGGCACTACACAGCCACCTATGACGCAGGCCTCCTGCAGATTTCCCACTTTCCTGTCAAATCCCCAAAGCCCTATGGTGCACATCGCATAAACACCACCAAACAGGAACAAAATTTATTGCACCACATCAGAGCCTTCCCACGCCTGATCCTCTGGCCAAAACACTCCGATTAGATAGTACTATTAGTAGACTAAACCCTCTATGGTGCGCTCGGCCTAAACACCACCAAATAGGTCCCATCATTGATGTGATCATTGATGTCTCAAATCGACCGAAGGAAAAAAATTAAATTTAAATTGTATTTTTTGACAATTGGGGCCAGGCAGAGTTAAAACATACCAGGAAACCTCAATTGGTGTAGCAGCGAGGTCACAGAGGTCTCTGAGAGCATATAAAATGTCAGTGGTGACCTAAATTAGGCATGTTCCGTAAGCTCACATGACTGATTGATTGATTGCATCACTGATGTCTCAAATCGGCCCCTGCGGAAAAAGTATTTATTGTGAGTTTTGAGCGGATGAAGAATCCCTCTTGAGGGATTGTACTACTATCTAATCGGAGTGTTTTGGCCAGAGGATCAGTCGTGGGAAGGTTTTGATCAGGTGGAATAAATTTCGTTCTTGTTTGGTGGTGTTTAGGCCGAGCGCACCATAGAGGGATTTTTCATCCGCTCAAAACTCACAATAAATATATTTTTCACGGCACGGATTTGAGACATCACTGATACAATCAATCAATCACTCACGTGTGCTTACGACACATATCCTTATTGGGTAGCCATAAGTCCGGACGCCGAGTTACATGCTCCCGAAGTCGTTGGAAAGCTATTGGCTGCAACTTATGTCCTTCTCCTAGCGTGCCTCCATGAGATTTCAGTACAGAAAATGCAATATAAAATTTGGTTTTTTGTTCTTGGGCGATTTGAGACATCAATGATGCCATCAGTGATGGGACCTATTTGGTGGTGTTTATGTGATGTGCACCATACTGTATGTCATCGGGATCATTGCCGATTGCTCCGAGCTTGTGGGAACTAGTTAAGGTAGACCTATGATGTCGAAGAACATCACGTGTTCTGTCCGAATTGGGATGAAACATTATTATTAAAATAACGTTTATAAGATAGGCCTTATCCATATCCATCCCAAAACACATTTCCCACGCTTTGAAATATTAGTATTAAGTCTCGTAGAACAAAGTTAAAAATTCTGGCCCGGCAAAGCCTTTGAAAGGATGTGAAGGGGTGCCTCCCAAATTTTTATAATGTTTGAGTAAGAATTGAGAGACGAGATAGCTTTTTACTGTGCTGGTCTGTTGATGTCACACGCATTGAGATCAGTAAAAACCTATCTCCTTCACCCAATGTCGTCAAAATCTGGGAGGCACCCCTTCACATCCTTTCAAAGGCTTTGCCGGGCCAGAATTTTTAATTTTGTCCTACGAGACTTAATACTAATATTTCAAAGCGTGGGAAACGTGTTTTGATCCTTGGATGGATATGGATAAGGCCTATCTTAACGGTTTAAAACGGTTTTAAACGGATGAATTTCTGGAGTGGTCGAATTGGGCGTACCTAGAGGTGAGTCGGCATGTTTTGTTCCCCTCCTTCTCGCGTTTATCACCCCATCAACCCCTAGATGTCCTCACATGGGACCCGAGCCAATATGAGACCCCAAATCCGCGCCCAGAAGTTGTCCAGTTTCCTCATTTGGACAACGGTTGAGCATCCCAAGCTGCAAGTAATGAGCTATCACTATGATCAGGGAGCAGAGATTGGTCTATGGAACTGTTCAGTGAATTTTACTACCATTTGCAAAATTCTGTGTACTGAAAGCCAGTTCATTCAGCCCAACCGTTTGAACCATTTACAAACTGTTTCCAAACTGTTTCCGACCTCGAGCAAATTAAATGGAAACGAAAACGGATATTACCGTTTACAAACGTTTGCAAACGGAAATGGTTGGAGCCTTAGGCCTTATGCCTGTAGCGTTGCTCACCTTCCCGTTGTTGTCTTCGTCACATCATCTTTGCCATCAAACTCGACGAATCTGATCAGCAGTCCTCTCGATGACTTTGCGCTCGTTCTGATGGCCCTGTACTTCAAGACTGCTCTCTGGTGATGGTAGTCCTGTATTTGCGCCACTGTGGACGCGGTATGTTCCAATTATGATCCATCTTTCTTTCCTCTATCTTTCTTTGGTTTTCTTTCCTTATCTTTCTCTGTTTCTTATTTCTGCGTGCGCGGACCTGTACATCCGCGCCCGCTACCAACACCGAGTGTCATATCGTGTGTGATTTCCTTTTTTTCTTTGTTTCTTATCTCTGCGTGCGCGGACTTGTATGTCTGTGCCCGCTGCCAACGCCGAGTGTCATATCGCGCGTGATTTCTTTTTCTCTGTTTCTTATTCCTGCGTGCGCAGACTTGTACGTCTGCGCCCGCTATTGGCAACACCGAGTGTCATATCACTTGCAAATCCGTGCCCGCTACCATCGCCGAGTGTCATATCGTGCGAGTGTTTCCTTTTAATTCTTTCTTCATATCCTGTGTGCACTACCCCCACGTTTTCCGTCACCAAGAACGCGGTATGTTTCATTTATGATTCTTTTCCTTGTCGCAGCACTCCGGTTGGGGTGCCCGTCGCCACTTCGCGTTTGCCGGTCGCGCTTCGCTTTGGAGCGCTGCTCCTGTTTGGGGGTCCGGCTGCTCGCTTTCTGGCGTCGGTATCCCCCAGTCTCGTGTCGCGCTGGCCGCGGGCTGCACACACGAGTACGTCTCCTGCCCGGTGTCGCTCGCTGGCTCGGTCTATTTTCTCCTCCAGTCCCGTGATAAAGTCGACCTCGCCCTTTCTCGTGGCCGCATCGTGCTTTGCTCAACAAGTCCCACTGTCGCTCGTGGATTCTAAGGATCTCTCAGTGCTGGGGCTGTTACAAGTACGGTCATACGAAGGCTCGATGCAACGTCAAGGCACCGTCCTGCGCTGTATGTGCCAAGCCAGTTGGCGACCACTCACCAACGACGCCGTGTTCAGGGCCCGTCGCATGCCTCAACTGCGGCGGCAAGCATCGCGCTGATTCGTATTCGTGTCCTAAGCGCAAGGAGTTGCTGGTGACGCTCGCGGGGCGAATGAAGGATCTGCATGAGTCGTTGGATAAGTCTTCAATTCATCCCCTTCCGTTCATTCAACAACACGCTCATTAAATAATCTCTCTCTCCCTTTCGCGATCTTCGTTTCTGATTCACGCAACCCCATTATAGTAGAGGTCCTCACTCTCCTACATACACTAGTTCCTCATTCACACGTTCACGTCTCTCCTCGTCATACCATTTTCCTTACACGATACCAAATTTCCATTTCCTTTCTGTTTACCGCAATCGTCCCGTAACCTACCAGTGATCATGTAACCTTAACCTCCCCTCTTGTACTGCCGCATAGCCTCACTGGCCAGGTACGGCATATAATAGAACTTCAAGTCAAGTCAAGCCCGGTGTCGCCTTTGTTGCGCTCTGGTTGTCGGGAGCGTCTCGTGCGAGCTACGTCTCCCACTCCCCGGAGTTGCTTTTATTGCGCTCTCGGGGTCGGGAGCGTCTCACAGCGGCCTGCGGCCACGCCTGACAAACCAACTTCACTATGCATGTTCACTTGCCCTTTATGGCATCCTTGCATGAATTTTTGTCTTCCCCGTCTCTTCGCGAGATATTCTTTTATTACATTACATACTGTACTACGTCTCAGCTCCCAGAGCGCGACGAGCTAGCTTATCAGAGCTGTAAGCCACAAATTGGTATGTAGGAGCAGGCTCCGAATCTTCCCACAGCACGTGACCAATACGTGTCACGTATGATAGCAGACACAACTTCATATCAAGCCGGAATTTTGGCCAAAATTCTTTGAAACTTGAGATTTAGCAGGAACTTGGGGTGGGTTTATAGGCAAAATTCGCATTTCAGAGAAAACGGAGAAACTCTAGTCTAGGGTTAGAAAAGCGCGAAATTTTTGCGCAAAATTTCAAAAGTGTGTGTACCTAACTTCAGGTTTCCGGAAAAAACCATCGGATTATAGCCTGAAGTTGGTCAGTAGCTCAATTCTGACCCCAGCAAACATCCATAGCAGAAGTCCCTTGGATTTGGTTGAGATTTGGTGAAGGTTCAGTGGTGCGGCAGACATTTGATGCGCTGACGGCATCGTACAGCCACCGGCTATGTCTCGGCCCGGACCGAAAGCGCGAAATCCGTGAAAGAAGAAATGATTTTGTGGATTTTGAGACTTTTGACCCGAGGGATCTCTAGTCTTCCTTCTTATGGTCATTTCTGCACAGTTTCAATGCCACTGGGTAAAAACTGAGGGCACAGTA